TGACACTGCCATCCCTGACACCTCCATCACTGACACCTCCATCACTGACACTGACATCACTGACACCTCCATCACTGACACCTCCATCACTGACACCTCAAATCAGACTACCAACTGACCTGACGACCACTGACCAGATACTGACGACCACACTGCATCATGGGACATTTCCAGGCTGCTGTCATTGATGGAACCTGTTTCTGAAGCTAATGAGGCTAATGAAGCTAGTGAGGCTAATGAAGCTAGTGAGGCTAATGAAGCTAGTGAGGCTAATGAAGCTAATGAGGCTAATGAAGCTAATGAGGCTAATGAAGCTAATGCAGCTAATGAGGCTAATGAAGCTAATGCAGCTAATGAGGCTAATGAAGCTAGTGAGGCTAATGAAGCTAGTGAGGCTAATGAAGCTAGTGAGGCTAACCTGTTTCACATTGTGTCTAATGTGGGTTTTTACACATGTGCCCCCCCCCCCTGACTGTAATGATGTGGCCAGAGGTCTAGTGAGGCTAATGAAGCTAATGAAGCTAATGAGGCTAATGAAGCTAGTGAGGCTAACCTGTTTCACATTGTGTCTAATGTGGGTTTTTACACATGTGCCCCCCCCCCCTGACTGTAATGATGTGGCCAGAGGTCATTATCGTTCATTCACACACACACACACACACGATGCTGAGCTCCGTCCACTGTGAAAATGGACCTGAAAATTCCCATTTCATTTTCGTGAGAAAACACGAGACGACCAATGACACGAGGCCACTGCTCAGCTGCTCCGTGTCGACCAATGACTGTGTTAGCATTTCAGATTTACACACTGAAACAACGGCTGGTCTGTGGTGGTCTGTGGTGGTCTGTGGTGGTCTGTGGTGGTCAGTGATGGTCAGTGGTGGTCTGTGTGCATGCACTTATAGCTGTTTATTTCTCCCATGAGTATAAACTGTAGGGCTGAAGACGTCAGTCATCATGTAAATCAGTGAGACATTAGGAGTCAGCTCCTCTTCCTCCTCTTCCTCCTCTCCCTCCTCTTCCTCCTCTTCCTCCTCTTCCTCATCCGCCTCATGAAGATGAAGAAAGGCTTAGCTGCTGCTGATAAAGGAGGACGGAAATGAAATCACCTCAGTGATGAAGCTGGGCCGCTATATGAGACGCTGTGAGAGTGTGTGTGTGAGAGTGTGTGTGTGTGAGAGTGTGTGTGTGTGTGTGTGTGAGAGTGTGTGTCAGGGATTCAGTTCATTTTAATTCAATAATCCTGGTCATAAGATCATCTTATTGAGGTGAAACTCTGGTGGTGGGGTGAGAGTGTCTCACACGTGCACTCACACGTGCACTCACCTGTGAACGCACGTGTGGAGCGGCTTTCTTTAGAAGAAGAACTTCTGAAACATGTTCTCAGTTTGTGAATCTGGTCTTTGAACCGTTTCTGATCCAGATCACGGCACCGTCTCAACCTGAGCTTCTTCTTTGTTTCCTTCTTCTTAATGAGGCTCTACATGTGGGTCGAGGCCCCTCCCTGCCCCCCCCCCAGATTTAAATGAACTTCAGTTCATCAGCTCGTTACTGCAGTAACACTTATTGTAAACACGGTGTTGGTTTCCGTCCACTCCACTGTTCCACGGTGCTGAGGTTCCACACTGGAACTGTTCCTGGAACTGTTTGAATGACTGTGTGTTCATTTGTATGTATGACTTTGGAGGCAGCTGAATTAGTCTGAGTGTGAACGCTGCTCTCTGCCCCGGCTCTGATTGGACAGTAATTACCATAAATCACATTTACATTTGTCATGTGATTTAATTCTCATCTCACCATCGTACCATCGCACCATTGTACCATCGCACCATCGCTCCATCATACCATCTCACCATCATACCATCATACCATCGCACCATCTCACCATCGCACCATCGTACCATCGTACCATCGTACCATCGTACCATCGTACCATCAGAGCATCTTTATATTGTTGTTGTCAGTTGACAACATGTTGTTGTTGTCGTCGTCAGTTGACGTCATGTTGTTGTTGTTGTCGCCACCATCTTTGTGCTTTATCGCCTTTTTTACTTTAAATGGGACTGGATTTTACAACATGCCCAACAACAAGAATCAAAATTTAAAATTTAACTTTCAAATCGTTACCGTCATGTTACCGTGCAAACCTAGTAATGACCAGCAGGGGTCCTCACAGCCACTCTTCCCTGCTGATGTTCTCAGCTGCTCAGACCTGCTGCCAACCCCACAGAGCAGGCAGGTGGGGAAGGGTGTGGGTGGGTGGGGGGGGGGGGGGGTGTCACTGACTGACCCCCGGGGTAATAGGGTTTATTTAGGGCTGTTGGAGTCACCAGACGACGGGGCTAAAGGAGCAGCAGTCGCTTTAAGGAGGTGCCAGTCTGAACAAGTACAGATCAGGATTTACTGCAGTACTACTGCAGTACTTTGACCTTCCATAAAAAACACTGAACATCTTCAGTGATGAAGCAGCGTCAAGGGGTTAACACTGACAAGTTAGATCCATGGGGGGGTGGGGGGGCGGGGGGGGAGTTATGTCACAGGTCAAAGGTCACCCCGTCTGTTCCATCATGTTCTGTTAATGGACTGCAGTCACCCTTCAGGAAGTCAGTTAACTGTCGGGGAGTCGGGGGGGGACAGGTCGGGGTCTGTCCGTACACCAGGGTCCCAGGGCCATGGTTTTAGTCTCTCCTGTCAATCTGCACCTCCTTTGAGGGGGGGGGGCGGGGGTGGGGGGGCACAAAGAAATGAAGAATTGACCTGAAGGACCGCAGTGAGCGAGTGTGTGCAGGGAGACCAAGAGGGTGAGGAGGGTGAGGGGGGGGAGTATGGGAGACCAGGTGCAGGTCTGTGAACGTCCACCACGTCTTCACTGAATCTTAAACACACACACACACAGAGGTAACTAAAGTGCTGCAGGCTTCACTCCATTCATTTATTATAGGCTCTGCCCCCCCCCCCCCACCACTCACTGTCTTGCCCCAGAACATGCCC